ACAAGTCTCTTTCTGGTGAAACTTGTGAACTCTTGTGAAACTGAAGCAAGCTAGTCTAGCCATAATAGTAACACGTTTAGGCTATCTAGATGGGTCGACACATCGATGGGAAGCAAAATGCCCCCCCCCCCGGTCGCCGAACTGCACCCTCTTACTTGATGTATTCTTGATTCCACTCAGTTGCGATGTGCGACTGTCTGTGAATCTTGCATGTTTCTCTTCCGTAACTCTACGAACTTACACTTCAGCTTGAAACCAAGGTTGTTCACAGCTTCATTCGACAAACGTGTCGGTGTTATCGTCGTCAGAGACTGGAAAGTCTAGAGACAACTGAGAAACTATTGTCAAACATTTTTAACTTACACGAAAATTCAGAAGGGTGTAAACTACTACGACGACGTTGTGAGAGGCTCTAAAAACTGGTCTTCAGCGGAATCGACCTGGGTGGTCCACCTGCCACTCCAAGGGTAGTAATGCGTTTTGAGTGAGGTGAACCCAGTGGCTGCTTCCTTGGGTTTCGGAGAGTCGACTATAAGATCCAACGACTCAAAAGCCTTCACAGAGTATGCGCCCCGGACGTATTTTGAACCTCCTGTGGAAAGTCAGCGGCGTCTTACCTCTAATGGCATCTGGAGTCGTTTGATCTACGTCGAGCGAGCGGTTCCTAGGGATAAACTGTTTAAAGGGTATTACTACCACCTCGGAGTGACAAGTGGACCGCCCATTCTTGACACTCTCTATGTCTCGCTCTTTTCAATAATCACCGTAGGTAATCTTAAACCTCCTTTTTACTTTACTCGACGGCAAAAATTTCAAGCCTTCTCGGCACATCGAGAGGGATGCCTTCTCCGAGTACTAACTCGCCACGTTCTGGTCACCGAACATTCAAAACCTAAACGCGTACCGGAGCTCGCTCGGGTTGTTTCAAGTTCATGAAGGAATGAATAATGTCCCTCAACTGTTCCATTACTTTCCTTCCAACCTAATGACCGTGATCCTTCTCTCGTGATTTTTCCATAACAACCTTTTTCTTTCGAAATTTGCGCTGATCTTCCTTCTCCTCTTATATTTTTCTGAGCTCCGGATCGTATTTTTGCTGTGACTCTCTTCTTTGTTTTCTTCACGACGCCTACGACCACTTTCAGAATAATGTCCTCATCGGGAGATGTCTCGTCCGCAGATGATGTGACCACCGTTAGCGGTGATTCAATCTCCCAACATGAAGAGCCCACAGATTCCGCATCAGTCAAGGCTTTGTCGTTGAATGAGTTTGACTGCAACAGTTCAACTTCTTCATCGATGTATCGAACGATACGAAGTGACATTGTTCACCCGAATGTGGAACGTTCACTTGGCGAAAGCTTTTCTATGCGTCGTAGTCCGAAAGACTCACCCGGGCGATGGACTGACATTTTTACGTCGAAAAGAATCAGAAAGAAGATTCATAAACATTTTAGGGAGAGCCATGTGGTAGGACATTGGGTCCCTATACATTGCTTTAAGATTATATTAAAAGATTTATAAATAAAGTGGGGGTGTTCAGGATGATGATCGGAGTCCAACAGATGAGATGGTATGTGCTACGCAAGAACTGCGGTCTCTATCACCGTCAGAGCTTAATGGTCGATTCGTACAAGTCATGGTTGGAGCTTTTTTTTCAATTTCTTGTCAAGAAAGTTTTGATTTTGGATATTTTTAGCGAGACAGGAATATTGACCAGAAGAAAATTGACGATATGCTGCTTAAAATGGCGGATGAGCAGAAGAGGTTGATTCTCACACAACATCTGAAAACCGATGTCAGCGGTACAAAAAAGGTGGGCAGATTTTCAGTGTGTACAGAGCAGCTCTGCTCATCAAATTCCTAGTTGGGATACTGTAATCTCCTCTATAACTCGTAAAACATCAGTTAATCGGTCACATCTGCGACTAACCCGGTTCTGTCCTTTTCCCTTTTTCCTCATACCTCGTCTCCCTGTCACTCCGCAGTATTCCCCACCATATCGTCAGATTCTCTTCCCTCACTCGAGGCAGAATGACTGTGGCACTTCATGTTTTCCCACTCTGTTGATCTCATTACTTGTGGCCATTTCGTGCTGTACTTTGG